AAACACAAAACTTCACAAAAATCTTGCCAGAACATGGGAATGTGTGGCAAATAATTAAATGGATCAACCCAATTGAAAAATGATGTGACCAAGTTTACAAGCTGTATATTCTACTTATGAAGATAGCAGAAAAGATTGGAATCAGCAGCTCTTAGGAGACACTAGCCTGGGACTGTTCAAGTACATGTGGGATTTCTAACTGTTCTTGTGATCCTTCTGCCTGTTACATTAGTAGTCTTAGACACCCTCGGGCAAGAAGCTAGCCAATAATTACTAACAAAGTTGTCATCTACCAATATGATAATTAGCCTGTTAGGAATTATATTAAAAACCAATAATAAATATGCTGGAGTTAATACAGGAAGGTAAATACAGAACGACAAGCTACCCTACAAACCATAGCACAGAACACCCCACAAGTCCAAAACTACCATCAGACACACCAAGGGCACACTATATGTGCGTTTTAATGCGCATTAACCTATTTTAACATGCATTAGTGTCACAAAAAAAGATGTGCTTTCACTAATGCACTTTAAAATAGGCTAATGCACTTTTTTTTTACTATTTCAGAATATAGGTATTAAATTTAACGCACATCAGCAAATGTGCATTAATAAACATGTAGATGTGCCCCCAGAAAACTAATGAAGTCAGGCCCTCAGATATTATTGCATCTACTGAGAATAGTCACAACACCCACCCCACCAACATGAGAAGGCCTTTACTTGGCATTGACACTCCACCAGAAAAATAGATCATACCTTTGAAGGAGCCACAAAAGCAGCCAGCAATAGCCTACTACAACATAGAAAGAAAACTCCCACCAATCGCCCTTCCTAATTATTACATACTGTCCCACACTGGACCCTATAAGAAGGATCATCAAACAATGACAGCCTACAATTGAAAAAGATCAGACCCTGAAGGAAGTATTCCCAAGTCTCCCACTCTGGGCATTCAAGCAACCCCCAAACATGGCCCAACTCATCATAAGAAACAAACTCACCTCCAATAAACAGATTCCAAATGGGATACAATCCTGCCTCAGCAATGAAAAACATGTCAATACAATCGTGGCACTACAATAGTGAACAATGCCCACTACAAAACCACCAGAATCTACAGATCCTGCACACGCACATCACCGAATGTGGTTTCTCTTATCAAATGTAGTGGATGTCCCCTCTGAAACTACCCGAGTGAAACTAGACAGGAACTATGCACCAGAATGAACTCTTAGGAAAAAAAATATAAAGGACAGAGACACGCACAAACACTAGCAAGAGCCCATTTTTCACAGGACACCCACTCCCTCTGACCTCACAGTACTCATACTCAAAGGGAATTCAAAAAACACTTCCAGAAGACCAGTTCAGTGGTTTATAGTTCACTACAACCTTACAAATACTATCATCTCCCTCCATGCCACAGATATAACTATCCCCCTTCTTAAAGGTCTGTCTGCAACCAACTAGATTGCCCATTCTACTGATCTTGTCTTATAGCTTCTGGTTACACTTCTTCATTCCTGGTTCACCCTCTGTCCCTGAAGCAGATGACTGTATTTTCATGGAGTGTGTTTTTATGTTTTTAGTATGTAGCTCACTTTGTGTCTGCTTCTCCTTCAGACCTGAAGGACACTTGATTTTTGAGAACTTATCCAACAGCTCTCCAAACTACTGTTGAGACAATAAAAGATACCACAAAAAAACCTTGCCTTTCAAGCCACAAAGCTAGAAAGCATGGGGTGGGGAGGAGAGAAATGTTGTGATAATCAGAAACTAGGTGGAAAAAAAATCCTACATGTGATTATACTGAATTTGAATGGGTAGCACTGGATAGTTCTGCGAATTAAGAATATTACATAGACCAAATTCTATCCTTTTCCCTGGTAAATTTAATATTCCTGCTCATCTGGACCACAAATTCCTCGGAGGCCAAATTTGGCCAAGATCACAGAGCAGTGGCAAGACTGGCAGGGAGAGTAGCATCTGTAGTGGGAATGCCAGGACAAGTGGTGGCAGGTCAAGTGGCCACATAACTGAGCCGGGTTGTGTTGGCATAGCCCTTTGTTGCCCTCCTGCTGCAATTCATCAGCAAGCTATGCCTATTGCTAGCCACACCCCTAACTTCTGGTAGCCTGCTGGGCCAAATGAAACAGCCCCACAGACTGAAGACCATCTGCAGGTTGCATGTTTGTTCAACACCCTGGCAGAGACATTTCCATTCACTAGAAAGAACCAATGCTGCAATAATCACCTAGCTGTCATCCCCCACCCTCCTTTGTCCGATTCATCCGGCCATTCTTAAAGATGCAGGAAATAAGTGTATTCAATAAGTATTTCTGATCTGTACTAGAAAAGAGGCTGGACAACAAAATTCTCTCTCACTGTAATAGCAAATCTTTCTACTTCAACATAATGTAGTTATAAATCTGTAAGTCTAGATAACTTGTCTCCATGCATTTAGAACTGACTGAGAATCTTCAGGTCTGAGACATTAAAATCTCTGAATACTCGGGAAGTTCCACAGACATGGAAAAGGCTGACGTTATACCAAGCGGTCACAAAATGTAATGGGATGACAGAGATAACCATCATGCCAAGTAGCATGACATCAATCCTTGGAAGAGGGGCAGAGGGAACAAGTCACAAAAAGGCTGTAAGATGCATCTAGTAAAGAGGTCAAGTGACTGGTTTTAAATAAGCTGAGGAGGTTTTCTGGAAGATAGCCCTTGATGTAATTTTCACATGCAATAACATTTGATTGCCAAAGTAACTGCAGATTTAATATGCTTAATCTTATGGGAATCGACAGATTTAGTATCACATGACATTCAGATTAGAAAAAATAGGCCAGAAAGTCAGTCTACAACATATTCAGTGTTTCTAAACCAGTTTATCTATAGAGTAACTTTAACTGAAGAATCCCTACTCCATGGGTCACTTTTCTGGGAACCACAGGGACATTTGTCCTTGGTGGGGGTCAGACCTGATGATCTGTTTAGGTCCCTTCCGACCCTAAGTACTATGATACTATGGTATAATACTATTCAATAATTATCTGTAAGAAAACAATAATTGCTAGCCAAGTTGGCACACAACAAATCAAAACAGGTGACAGGTGTTTTCTAAAGAATGATCTAGATTAGACGGTAAATTGGGCTTAATGAAATCTATTTTTATAAAGAAAAATTGAAAAGGCAGTAACTGAGACTATGACATCAGAAGTTAAACGTGACAACAGAAATCAAGCGACTGAGGGCACATCTACACTACCTCCATCCCATGCCTAGAAGCATCTCTGTGAAGTACCCCATACCCGTGTAAACTTCTAGGTGTACAAACTTCCTAGAAATAAGGCAACTTATCTGCCTCAGTGTCCTTGAGTGCATGCTGGAATTGCATAGAAGGTCTTGTCTTTTGTGCATTTAGCAAAGGCACTCTAGGTCATTCTTACTGCAAGAGCTAGTGGGTATGATTCAGAGCAGCCCTCAAAGCACAGCAAAGAGGCAGTTAAACAAGCCCAAAAAGGTCTTAATACTTGGGTCAATACTGCTTACACTTTTTTTCCCCGTTTATAGTTCAAGAAAAGATATGATCAGTCCTGTATATTTAATAAATACTTGTTGTGAAGAGCATTTTTTCCATAAAAGAAAGCAATGGAAATTCTCTCTGCCTACACTTCTTAACTTTCAGAGGAGAATCCATTTCAGGACACTTTTAACTAGAGTGTTCATTTAAACAGACCCGAGGTCTCTGGTGGAAGTAGTGAAGACAGCATGCAGGCAATTTTAACTGATAAAACAAGAACCCCCAAACATACACCAGTATACACTACTTACGGCTGTAAGATTAGAGACATGGTGGTCTAGTAACTCTTTTGCTCTATCCAAACTACAAACCTAATACAGGCAGTCCTCGACTTACGTTTTGAGTTACAACATTTTGCACTTACAATCTTTATAAATTGACACCCTGTTTCAACTTTATGACATCAGTTTTGACTTTACAACACTTGATCCAACACGATGCTGTGCCAGTGAACAATTTTGCTGCATCACCCATCTCCCTGGAGAACATCTGTCCAAACGTCCTTTGACACTTCCTTTAAACAGACAAGACTCCAAAAAAACCTGCAGCCAAGACTCCTGAGAATACTCCAGCCAAGAGCCCTTCAAAAAGTCCGAAGTCACCTCAAGGAAGTCCTTCCAAATCAGTATGATTGCCACTTACAATATAAATACAATAATGTAGCTATATTACTCATCTATAATTGTCTGAGTACAAAATTCTGGGTTATTTTTGGTGAAAATAAGGTATGAGGCCCTGGTTCAGGAACCAATCCCCCATTTATAACATTGTTTCCTATGGGAAAATTGGTTCAGAGTTACAATGTTTCAACTTAAGATATGGTTTTCAGGAACCAATTGTGTCCTAAGTCTGAGAACTGTCTGTACTACCAATCAGGTTCAAATTTTGAATTCCACTCACTTCCCTTCTTCCTAGTATAAATAAGGACTGGAATACATAGCAGGTCAAGTTTTCAGGTGTGCCTATGAATAGTGGAACAAGTTCAATTTTCCCTTCATCTAGGACTACAAGCACCTACTGGTTTTCCTTGCATAACTTGTTTCAACTGCCACACTCACATTGCTCTTCCTACAGTGCTTCAATTCTAACTAGATTGAATGGCTGTTCTTATAAGAACTATTAAATAGTAATACAGCATTGTTTTAAATACTGAATTAATAGTCCCAAATGCTCAAGTTACAGATGGACAGGGATTTTCAAACTTTTGTTTAACCAGTACATGTTTTAAAGCCACAAGCAAGCTTCAAATTAATTTCTGGTATGATAAATAGCTAAAGATAACACCATGAATGTAATTGGCTAATTATGGGTGCGACAAAATCTGCTACAAGTAGCAAGGTTGTTCCGTAAATAAAGCAGTCAAATCTCAAAGTACAATACATTCATCCACAAGACGCATACTTAGGGGAGGCCAAATTATTTTTATTTAAATTTTTTTAGTAACCAATTCTATTTCTGGCAGAAAGCTCTGCTCCTTTTCAGGAAGTCAGTGCTCAAATTGATTAATTAAATTTTTTTATCTAGTCCAAATTCATTCTTATAACAGGATAAACAAGAATTCTAATGGTCTGCAGAACAGAAATTCATATGCTTGTGTGAGAACTCCACATTTATAATGGATTGTGCCACAGAGTGTAAAATTACTTTCAGTAGTGTATCAATAAACCGTTCACATTTGATTCTGAACTCTTGAGATTAGAAAGCTGTACTCTCCTTTCAAAATCTCATTACCTTGTGCAAGTTAGTCAAGTCTTCATGTGTCAAGCACACATTTAAAGTTGTCCATATTATATATACACAAAACGCCTACCATTTGGGCAGTGCAAAATACATCCTTTCATAACAAAACTAAAATGTACCTCTCAAAGTATGAACAAGAATATACACATAATACATGTTGTACACTATTTACACAACCATAAAAAATATAATACAAGTTTTTGTATGCAATGGTATGACTTGACAGTCTTTGCACTTCATGTTGCAACAAGGCATATTCAAGTTTCCTGGATGGAGCTTTCTTTGTCACTGTTCATAGTTCTTGGAAACTATGCTTGAACTTTTAGGAGAGTTTTTAAGTGGACTGCCATCAGCTCCCTATTTTGGTCAGAATATTCAACAGGGCATCCCACCCAGTGACGGGGAGGTTTTGGAAGAACACTGGGAGATGGTGGGTCACTAAACTTTGCCCCAGCATAATTCTCTTTTTGGTTCGCTTCAGTTGGAGAGACAGGTTTCTTGGACTTTGCATTTTTAAAGTTTTCTGTGTTCTTAAGTGGCTTTTTCTCCTGCTTTTGAATTATTTCAGATGATACAGAATCTTGCCAAAAGTTTTCAATTTTTTTTGCAGAAGTGATTTTAGTTAGTGGCATGTTACATTTGTTCTTCTGTCTGCTTATCTTTGGTTGTTCACACAGGTGTATACTGTGAACAGGCTGGCTGTGGGAAATGGCAACCTTCTCAGACTTTCCCATCTTGTTCTTTAAGAACTGTAGAGACAAATAAGTCATACAAACACATGAATCTTTCAAGAAAAAAAAAAATCTACACCAGTACTTAAAAAGCACTACCTAAAATGTACTGTATACAGTTTCATTCTGAGAAAGAGGCAATACTGTCTTCTCATTGTTCCTTGTATTCTATAAACAACACCCTTCCCCCCCACCCAAAAAACCAAACACACACACACACACACACTAAACCAAGACCAAAACCCCAAATGACTGGTTTCTGAGACATATTGGTACACACTATGGCTAAAAAACACAGATGACTGGTTTAATTTGAGATTTATTGTACCAGGTTTGAATATGCATTGAAACAGGCTAGGTACATACAAGTTAACCTTGATCATCCACTTAAAAGCAGGAGCATGAATGTGTTCATTGGTAGGATCCTACAATAAAAATTGTCCTGGGTAAAGCAGTAATCTGTTTTTAGACAGGTAAATCACTCCCATGACCAAGTCAACAGCAGTAGCAGCAACCCCTTTGGCACAACTCCCAGAGCAGGAAGGCAAAACTTCCTTCAAGGTCCATAGGTTGCACTGCAAGGTCTTACTAGCCTCACTGTAATGTAGCACATCATCTCTCTTCCTGCATTTTTAAAGCCCTCAGCAAGGAGGATAGACAAACAGGGGCTCCCTGTTACAAAAAGGGGAAGGTCGAGTAGGAGGCTGGATGGCTTGTTTTAACTCAAGGTTTTGCAACCATTTTAGACCCAAGACACTCCTTGCTAGGCTCAAGGTTTCCCTCCTGAGATATAAGGCAGCCCCTGGAAAGTGCCAGCTCTTAAATTTTCACTCAGGTTTTGACTATGGAAAAATACTAGAGCAACCCTTCTGTTTCAGTGAACTCAGAAAGACAACAGCCAGGCTGAACCATTTCAACAGTGTGGATTCCTACACGGAGAGACACAGCTAGCTGCATTTGTCTGAAGTGGAAGGCAGTGCAGATATGCACCTTAGAGACTAACCAAAGCAGCAGATATCCATCTGTCCATCCATTCGTATCTTCTTAAGGGGAGCTGGGGCACTGGGAACGGAAGCATGGGCAAGGGGCATACACCAGTCACACAAGAAACACAATCATTTCACACCAGGCAGGGTAGCTTTGCACCTTGAAAACTAACCAAAGCAGGTATTTGCATCTATACCCATCTAGGTAGACATATATAGGGACAGACAGATGCAAGTACAGATGTAGATGCATGAAGCACAAACTTCGGTGAGCGGAGGCTCACTCTGTGAGTTGAGATCCTGATGAAGTGAGCCTCTGCTCACCAAAGCTTGTGCTCTACACATCTACCGACAGACATCTCTCTCTGTAGGTACAGATGTAGATAAACATTTACCAACAGACACACCGGGCACAAGCTTTGGCGAACAAAGGCTCGCTTCATCGGGACCTCTGCCTACCAAGCGAGCCCAGCTCCCCAGAGCTTGTGCTATTAGGTCTACACCTGGAACTGTCCAGGGACACGTCTACATCCTTTCCCTCGCTAGAGAGACGGATGCAGGTCCTGCCCCTACCCAAGGGGAGCCCCCCGCCCCCGCCATGGGGCGCGGCGCCCGGGGCACGTCCGCGCGCAGCAGGCTAAATCCGGCTGTTGCTGGGCGCGAGGCCCGAGCTCATTGGCTCCCGGAATCCACCAATCAGCACGAGTGGAACCTTCCCCTCTCTCACCCCCTCCCCTACAAACGGGCGTAACGGAAACTTCCCCCTCAGTGCCCCCCCCACGCCCCGCGGGAGGCCACGCCCCTCCTCTCCCCTCCCCCTCTCACCTCCTTCCTGAGGGCTTTGCCGGGCGCCGGCCGGGGCGTGGCGGACGCGGAGGGCTCCTCGGGCCCCAAGCCGGGGGTGGGGGGGCAGCGGGGCGCCAGCGTGGGCCG